GCCTATTTCAATGATATTGCTGTAGGTGCAGTATGCTGCAGGGTGGATCATTCACAGAATCAGAAGAGACTTTACATCATGACACTAGGATGTCTTGCACCTTACCGAAGGCTAGGAATAGGTAAAATTATTAGTGTTTTTTTTTTTAAACTTCAAAGAAGCATAAATACATTGTTTATTAATCTGTATGATCTAGTATGTTTGTTTATTACTGTAATTCAGTTGGAAATCCTATAAATTTATATCCCTTGGGTCAAGTTTTATTTGTAAGTTTGTATAAAAATATTGGTCTCTTACTGATACTTTTACAAAGAACAAAACTTGGGAAAATAAGGAAATCTTGTGTTGTATACCTTGTAAATTCTGTGAGGACATAAAAAGAATTTAAAGGTTGATGTGTAATGTTACTTATTTGCTGTTTGTCTTATAGGAACTAAAATGTTGAATCATGTGTTAAACATCTGTGAGAAAGATGGCACTTTTGACAACATCTATCTGTAAGTAAAATATTTAATGTTCTTCTGTTTAATATATTGTCAGTAGAAATCTTTACTGGGAACTTTAAAATCTGGCCTCTTACTTTGTATCTTTGAAAATCTGTAAGGAAAAAAAAAATCTGTAAGGAGTTGGTTCTAGAACAACCTAGAGATACAAAAATCTGAGCAGCTCAAACCTCTGTAAAAACAGCATAGAAGTATGTATAATGCACAAATATCCTCCAGTACACTTTATTTATTTGTCTTTTTGAGAGAGCTCTCACCTATAGTTCAGGCTGGCCTTGAGCTCACTTTGTAGCCCAGGCTGTTCTCATACTCGCTCAGCTTCCTGAGCACTGGGATGGCAGGCATGAGCCACCACATCCTGGTCTTCCCGTATACTTTAAACCAACTTAGATTACTTTCAGTACTTATATAATTAAGGGCTATGTAAAAGTAACTGCATTGTTCAGGGAATGACAAAAATGTGTATTCAGTGCAGATGCAGCTTTTTTTTTTGCATAATATTTGTAATCTGGTGTTGGTTGAACCCATAGATGCAAAGTTCATGAAAACGGAGGATCAACTTTGGTTTTTAATAAGGTCTTGTTTTAATAATAGAAAGCAACCTAAGGTAAGAGTAATAGCTTAATTATATTGGAAGGGGAGTTGAAGCCAGGATTAAAACCCAGCTGTTCAGAATTTAGGACCATTAATATCATTAATAATATTTTTTCATGCTGTGTTGCTTGTACATTGTGTATTTTGTTCAAGGTTATCAGTGATATGCTTATTTGTAGTAGAGTTTAATAATCAAAATCAAATTACTTTGCTTAGATTATATTTATGTCTCAAGAGATTCCAGATTAAAGCCAATAGTAAAATGGCTATAAAGTATTTGCAATTCATTTTAGGTGATCAGAGAGATTAAATTATGCAATGTTATTTTAAGGAGTAAGAGAAAGCTTAGATTTCTTTTTTTTTCCTTTTTTTTTTTTTTTTTTTTTGGCGGAACCGGGGATTGAACTCAGGCTCTTGTGCTTGCCAGGGAACCGCTTATTCCACTGAGCCATCTCCCTGGTCCTTTCAGATTTCTATTTAAAATATAATAACGTGTTTTCTATAATGTAGATATGATAAGATACATTGAAGCATGTGAGATACTAGTTTGTTATTTTAATAATTTTTCTTCTAGGCCAGGGAGATAGCTCAGCAGCATAAGCACCTACCTGGCAAGTGCAAAGTCCCAAGTTCGATCCCTGGTACCACCCCTCCCAAAAAATATATATATAATAATAATAAGATTCTTTTCTGCTTCATATTTAATGTGACTTGATTCATCCCCATTATTATTTAATCCATTTTAAATTAAATCTTTTTTCCCTTCTAGTCAGAAATACCATAAATATGGTACTTTATCCTTTAACTGTAAGAGCATGCCATCTGTTCTGCAAATGACAGAATTTGGTTAAAATTTTCAAATTTGGTCATCAAAGGGCAGGGGAGATAGCTCAGTAGAATAATAAGCGTTTGCCTGGCAAGCACAGGATTGTGAGTTCAATCCCCAGTACTTTAAAAAAAAAAAAAAAAATTGGTCATTAAAAGGTCCTCTGGTAAGCATTAAGTAATTTTTGTTGAGCACTAGTAATTATGAAGAGAATATAATATTCCAGAACCATTTTGAAGGGTTTGTTTTTTGGCTGGCTTAGGCTGCCTTAAGGGCGGGTCTGGTAATGCAGGTGGAGGTAGGGATCGAACCTCAGTATCCTGTGCCTGACTGCATTTGCATGAACAGGCGCTTAAACAACTGAGCTAACGGGCAGGCCCCCCAGAGCCATTTTGAAGTTGGTTACATTTTAATATATTATTATGTCTTTATACCTTGTTATATCTTAGGCACGTCCAGATCAGCAATGAGTCAGCAATTGATTTCTACAGGAAGTTTGGCTTTGAAATTATTGAGACAAAGAAGAACTACTGTAAGAGGATAGAACCTGCTGATGCTCATGTGCTTCAGAAAAACCTCAAAGTCCCCTCTGGTCAGAACGCAGATGCGCAAAAGACAGACAACTGAACAAATTACAA